TGGAGACAGAGAGGTGAAAGAAACTCAAGCCCCCAGGCCTCAGGGCAGAATCTAGATTACAAGTCAGGCTGGAGAAGGAAGGGAATTTCTTCATCTGTTCATTCACCCAGTGCCAGCAGAATGGAGGGTGGGATGCTGGGTATTAGAACTGGGGGTCATGGCCACCACAGGAGGAGTCAGCTCACTAAACGGGGGCAAAAGAGGCCAGGGAGGGGTATTGAAGATGAGCCTTCAGGATGCGCAGGTCCCCATCCTCCAGCTGCAGGCGGCATCCTTGGGGCTTCTTGGGACCCACAGGCAGACAGAGTTCAATGACTGTACAGAATCCGAGTTGGCCCCCTCTCCTGTTGCCCAGATCCCTCCCACCTCTCCCCCTCCCTGGCAACAGCTTGTCAGCCTCCCCAAGACCCACAGATGCAGGATCTGCATTCTTAACAGACCCAAGGGAACAAAGCTCTAATGGCAAAATTCCAGACAGAATGACAGCTATTTAGAGATAGTCCTAGGCTCTGCCCAAGCCCCGCAAATGCCACTCAGTCATCTCAGGCCCCGCACTCACCTCCAATTGCCCCTCTGTCTCCTGCAAACTGGACTGTAAGGGGATCTTTAAATGGGTAGAAAAACTGCTTCATCATCTTCTGCTTCTCCATGCAAAACCAGAAACTCCCTGCCCCCTCTCCCCATCTCCCCAGAGCTCTCTCCATCCAGTAAACTCCCGTTAAAGGGACAGTACCCGAGCTGCTGCAGCATCTCCAGCTCTGAAGGGCGCCTTAGACCAGGGGCTGGGAGATTAGGCAAAGGGCAAAAAAGACTGGCGTTGGTGGGGGGCTCTCCTGAAGGACTCCCTCTGGTTCCATTCTGGGAATCCCACCAAAAGAAAATTACTGTACACTGGGGGTGCCATTGAGAGAACTGCCCAGGGCAGACTCATTTACAGGGACCTGGAGGGGATCTCAGGACCCCAGCATCTCCAGGGGTCCTTTCAGCTCCTACTCCCAGAGCCTCCCTTTGTGTGTTGGGCAGCTTCGGCTGAAAGCCCAGGGGCCATGGCACCTAGTCCTCTTCAGTTCTCCATCTGCATAATACCAGGTCAGGTCTGCACGCTGGGAGGGCCAGGCAATCCCCTCACTCCCAAGGTGAGCCCCAGATTCACCCCTACCTCCCCGACAAGGGGCAGGCGCTGTCCCCAGTGCTGAAGCGCTACTGCAGAAAGAACTGAAAGACAGCCGAGGTTTCAACCCCTCCCTGCCTCCACCCCAGGAAATCCCAGCGACGGTCTCTATTAGGGCTCCGGGGAGTGAGGAGACTTTAGTACCCCCAAAGCATCCCACGACTGGCCGGCGCGGGCACCCACTTATCTGTGGTGGGCTGGGGTGGAAGCTGGGCAGATGATGCAGGGGAGGGGGGGTCTGAGTTGTGGGGAGGCAGCTGCATGCTCCACAAGCAAGCATCTGAGTTCCCCTCGCCCCCACAACGCTTCAGTTAGACACCTCCAATCCGAAGCTGTTGGGGCATCGCAGCCATCTGCCAGGGCAAGACCCCCTCAATGTCCAGATGAAACCCCCTGGAGGGAGGGGGAAAGGACACGACCTGTCCAAGGTCGCCCAGCTGACAAACTGCAAAGCTGCCTCTGTGTGCTCAGGCCAGGTCGGAGTGACTTCCAGCTCCCCACCCAGGACTCAGCAAGGACTTTCCAAGTGCAGGTCCGACTTCCTGCTCAGCCGGCTGCAGTGCCCCCACTCCGGGTTCCCTGCCCTCCAGCCCTGATTCCCCCACCCCACCCTCTCACGACCTTCTGTCCTGTCAGTCCTGTCACTCTCTAGGGCCAGTTGAAGGGTATCCCCCGACCCCCTGGGGACTGACGTGGACCAGTAGGGTGATGCTGTGGGGGCTCCCTCCCCATCCTCTGCAGTATCACCCACACTTCCATTCTGAGTGACCTTGTCCCTTGTCACCTTCCCCATCCCTATGTCCCCCAACTCTGTTCCCAAGCCAGCTGCAGTTTCTCATAAGTAGAGTACCCTTCAACTATTAGGGGGACCCTGTACTTCCCTCCAGGAGTGCCCATCTCCAACCTCTGTGCTGTCCACCATCCTGCAGTCAGGGGTGCTTGCTCCCTTCCCAGGTGCAGTGTCTCTCTCTCTCTGGCTACAGCTGAGCCGCCCCCCCGCCCCCCCCCCGCCCCAGGATCTGTCCTAAGCAGGGGTCTCCTTCTTCCACTGACTGCATTCTTCCATCCCACATACCAAGAGGATCCTTGCACTTATCCCCATACTGATCCCCTGAGCTTCTCCCCATTTGGGGTCCCTCCCTGTCCTATAGGACACTGCTGCAGGGTCTGCCCTGCAGGGGTTTGCGCTGGCCTACTCACGTCCTCCGCTGTCTTCTGCCACTCCCACAGTTCCCCTTCACTCTGGGGTCCCCCTGCCCCGCCCTTCTCACTGCGGCGGGCC